GTTGCTGCATACTAAATAGTGAGAAGGTCAAACGCGAAACGATTTTTAGTGCTTTAATATAGTATAGTAATGCATATAGCATAACCTTTGAAACTGCTGGAGTCTATTTTATATCACTAAGATAGATCGCTTTTCGAGTGATTTTTTCCATATCTGCGATTCAAGCTTTATTATCGCTGAACGCTAACGTTCACAGTCAGTGGTATAGTGTCAATTCAGTTGATCAATTGTAGAATTGATGTTGGAAAATTTATGTATAGATAAAATGACTTTATAAATACACGTGTTGTCTGTTGAATTGCGAAATTTATGAGCCAAAGTCATTCATGCGCATCGTCTGCGCATGGGCAGTTCTACAATAGTCAGATATTTCGCAAGTCAGGAATTTCGCGTCACACCGGCGAAAAAGATTAGCACTGTCTTTTTGAATCTTGATATGGAGAGAAAATCTTTGGCAGTTTCGCCTGGAAGGTCGAAGTCTATTTTTCGACGGAAAGTGTTTCATGTGGATGCTGATGTGGTGTTTCCGTTTTTCTCCGTGAATTGCCCGCACTGCAGTCTTATTGTGCATATTCTAAAATGAACTCATGCGATTGTCATACTTAAGGAGGTTTATTTTTTTGAAAACACTATTTAGAAAAGCTTTCTATTCGTAAGCTCGTGTCTTCTTCATTAGAGTATTATGTAGTGGTGATGATCAGGGCGCAAAATTATAACGGACAGATTAAAGGCCACTTTCCACTAGGCTTAATTTTCCGCGCGGAGCGGAATTTCTCTTTATGTCTTCTAATTAGTTCCACCTGAGTAATCACAAGACAAAGAAAAATTCCACTCGGCGCGGAAAATTAAGCCTAGTGGAAAACGGCCTTTGGGCCGGTTGTCGTTTGTTGACGGAAAAATTGTTGCATGTAAAATACATGCACTATATTTCTTTTTAATGTTTCTACAGACTATAGAGTTAATTAACATATAATGTTTGCATACATTACACGGAACTTGAGCAACTGAACAATATATCCATACAGTTGGAAATAAATTAATTATTAAAAATGTGAACCCAAATTAAAGCGATAAATTTTGTTTGTATGCTTGTGAGGTGGGGACAGTGTTAGTGCATGTTTTGTGCGTGTGCAAATGTGCAATGCAACTGGAACTCGACGTTGCTTGCTTATTTCACCTTGCAAGAACAGTATTGTGCTTACAGTTTGAATCTGTTAATTAAACAACTAGATTTTCTCCGGAAATTCCTGTTCTCTCCGCAGTAAAGAGCGAAGAATGAGCGTGGGAAATAACGTCTGGGTTTGCAGACTATACCAGGCAGGGTCGTAGCGAGCGGAAGGGTGAGGGGTATCACAAACCATGCATCCCACCTCCCACCCCCGATAATTGTGGATAATATATTTCAGGTAAATGTCAGATAAGTTTGATAAAAAATTCAGGTAACTATGGCGTCTGTGAAATCCGCGAAGAATTAGCATAGAATACACGATCTAGGTTAATAGTGGTAGGTCTCATACAAAGATCGTTTGTTGGCCCTTAATCAGTCTGCCGCTATCTTACAACAGAGAGATGACAACGAATTCTGCGACCACAAAACTCAGTTTCAACTTCATTATTTTTTTAGCGATTCCCAGCAGCATTTCGCGCTCGTATTCGACTTTTCCGCTCTGCTCGTGGACAACCTTAATTGAAATAGCTGTATGCACTTGAACTTGAGGTTAGAGCTTGACAACTGGCCTCTGTAGCTCAGTTGGTTAGAGCTCGACAACTGGCCTCTGTAGCTCAGTTGGTTAGAGCTCGACAACTGGCCTCTGTAGCTCAGTTGGTTAGAGCTCGACAACTGGCCTCTGTAGCTCAGTTGGTTAGAGCTCGACAACTGGCCTCTGTGGCTCAGTTGGTTAGAGCTCGACAACTGGCCTCTGTGGCTCAGTTGGTTAGAGCTCGACAACTGGCCTCTGTAGCTCAGTTGGTTAGAGCTCGACAACTGGCCTCTGTGGCTCAGTTGGTTAGAGCTCGACAACCGGCCTCTGTAGCTCAGTTGGTTAGAGCTCGACAACTGGCCTCTGTGGCTCAGTTGGTTAGAGCTCGACAACTGGCCTCTGTAGCTCAGTTAGTTAGAGCTCGACAACTGTCTCTCTGTAGTTCAGTTGGTTAGAGCTCGACAACTGGCCTCTGTAGTTCAGTTGGTTAGAGCTCGACAACTGGCCTCTGTGGCTCAGTTGGTTAGAGCTCGACAACTGGCCTCTGTGGCTCAGTTGGTTAGAGCTCGACAACTGTCTCTCTGTAGCTCAGTTGGTTAGAGCTCGACAACTGTCTCTCTGTGGCTCAGTTGGTTAGAGCTCGACAACTGTCTCTCTGCAGCTCAGTTGGTTAGAGCTCGACAACTGTCTCTCTGTAGCTCAGTTGGTTAGAGCTCGACAGCTGTCTCTCTGTAGCTCAGTTGGTTAGAGCTCGACAACTGTCTCTCTGTAGCTCAGTTGGTTAGAGCTCGACAACTGTCTCTCTGTAGCTCAGTTGGTTGGAGCTCGACAACTGTCTCTCTGTAGCTCAGTTGGTTAGAGCTCGACAGCTGTCTCTCTGTAGCTCAGTTGGTTAGAGCTCGACAACTGTCTCTCTGTGGCTCAGTTGGTTAGAGCTCGACAGCTGTCTCTCTGTAGCTCAGTTGGTTAGAGCTCGACAACTGTCTCTCTGTAGCTCAGTTGGTTAGAGCTCGACAACTGTCTCTCTGTAGCTCAGTTGGTTGGAGCTCGACAACTGTGTCTCTG